GCCCGGCCTAATAAATGTGTTTTAAAAAAATAAATTTATTTATTACATTTCTTAGAGACAGGGTCACTCTCTGTCACCAAAGCTGGAATGCAGTTGTGCTATCATAGCTCACGGCAACTTCAAACTCCTGGACTCAAGCGATCCTTGTCCTCTCTGCCTCCCAAGTAGCTGGGACTATGGGAGCATGCCTGGCTAAATTTTTTTTTCATTATTTACAGAGGTAATAGAGTTAGGATTAAAAATTATTTTCTTTTGTAGAGATGGGGATTCTTGTTATGTTGCCCAGGCTGGTCTCAAATTGCTGGCCTCAAAGGATCCTCTTGCCTTGGCCTCCAAAGTGCTGGGATTACAGACATGAGAGTCATCATGCCTGGCCTATGTTGTTTCACCCACTGAATTTATAGTAATTTGTTATGTAGCAATAGAAAACTAACGTGATCTAATAATAATAAACTTCCTCAGTTTTATGTGTTTGAGAATGTATTTATTTTACCTTAATTTTGGAATATCAGTTTGCCTCTGGCTAAGGAATTATAGGTTGACAGTCCTTTTTATCCTGTTGAATATAATATTTCTTTTTTTTTTTTTTTTAAGTTTTTTTTTTTTTTTAAGATGGAGTCTTGCTCTTGTCCCCAGGTTGAAGTGCAATGGCACAATTTCAGCTCACTGCAACCTCTGCTTCCTGGGTTCAAGCAATACTCCTGTCTCAGCCTCCCAAGTAGCTGGGATTACAAGCACTGCCACCACGCCCAGCTAATTTTTGTATTTTTAGAGACAGGGTTTCACTATGTTGGCCAGGCTTATCTCAAACTTCTGATCTCAGGTGATCCACCTGCCTTGGTCTCCCAAAGTGCTGAGATTACAGGGGTGAGCCATTGCATTGGCCGAATATAGTATTTCTATGTCTTCTGGCTTTCATGGTTATTGAGAAATTGATGTTAATCTAATAGTTATTTTGCAGGGAGTTTGCCTTTTCTCTTTTGCTCCTTTTAAGATTTTATCTTTGACATTGCTTTTCTAGTTTCATTGTATTAAACTCATAAATTTATTACCTGTGAATTTCTTTTTATTTATTCTGGTGGGACTTCTTCAGAGTTCCTGAATCTGAGGATATGTATGTAACCTGTATTACTTTTTAAATACAATCTCTTCTTTATTACCTTTCCTTCCTTCCTTCCCTTCCTCCCTTCCTTCTTCCCTCCCTCCCTTCTTCCCTCCCTCCCTCCCTCCCTCCCTCCTTCCCTCCTTCCCTCCCTCCCTCTCTCCCTCCTTCCTTTGCAACCTTCTTTCTCTCTCTCTCTTTTTTTGAGACAGGGTCTTCCTCTGTTGCCCAGGCTGGAGTGTAATGGCACAATCCTAGCTCACTGCAGCCTCAAACTCCTGGCTTCAAGCAATCCTCCTGCCTTGGCCTCACAAAGTGCTGGGATTACAGGAGTGAGCCACTGTGCCCAGGCCTTTTTCTTCTCTCTTTATAGAATTGCAATTTAGATAAAAGCTAGATCTTCTTACTTTATCTTTTATGTCTCTTAATTACTCCTTCATATTTTTCTTCTCTATATATGTTAAAGCTACATCTTAGTTCTTTTATTTTATTTATTTATTTATTGAGATGGAGTTTCCCTCTTGTTTCCCAGGCTGGAGTGCAATGGCAAAATCTCAGCTCACTGCAACCTCTGCCTCCTGGGTTCAAGCAATTCTCCTGCCTCAGCCTCCCAAGTAGCTGGGATTACAGGCATGCGCCATCACACCCAGCTAATTTTTTGTATTTTTAGTAGAGATGGGGTTTCACCATGTTGTCCAGGCTGGTTTTGAACTCTTGACCTCATGTGATCCACCCGCCTCCGACTCCCAAAGTGCTGGGATTACAGGTGTGAGCCACCGCGCCCAGCCTCTAGTTCATTTTTTAAAACTCTATTTGGGCCTCCAATTGTAACCAATTGGAACCTTGGCCAAATTTCTGCAATAAATACTTCTGGTTCAAAAAAAACATCTATTTTTCAGCTTACTAATTTTTTTCTTTAGCCATGACCAATCTCTTATTTATTCCATCTAGTAACCATATTGCCAATCATTATTCTTTTTAACTTATTATTATTATTATTATTATTTTTTGAGATGGAATCTTGCTCTTGTTGCCTAGGCTGGAGTGTAATGGAGCAATTGCGGCTCACTGCAACCTCTGCCTCCTGGATTCAAGTGATTTTCCTGCCTCAGCCTCATGAGTAGCTGGGAGCAATTGCGGCTCACTGCAACCTCTGCCTCCTGGATTCAAGTGATTTTCCTGACTCAGCCTCATGAGTAGCTGGGATTACAGGTACCCGCCACCATGCCTGGCTAATTTTTGTATTTTTAGTAGAGATGGGGTTTCACCATGTTGGCCAGGCTGGTCTCAAACTCCTGACTTCAGGTGATTCGCCTGCCTCAGCCTCCCAAAGTGCTGGGATTACAGGTGTGAGCCACTGTGCCCAGCCCATTATTTTTTTATTACTAGATTTTATAATTGGTTATTTTCCAATCTACCTGATCAATTTTGATAGTCTCTTGTTCCTTTCTTATATTTTAAATCCTCTTCTATGTTTTAAAAACATACTTAGTGTATTCATTTTATATACTGTAACTGAAAATTCCATTATCTACAATCTTTGCAGGCTTGAACAATTTATGGTGGCTTGTTTCCTGTGTGTTTAGTGACTTGAATAGTTTATAGCGGCTTGTTTCCTTGTGTGTTAGTGACTGTAAACTCATCCTTCTTGAAACTATAGCTATAGAAATTATTTAAGGCTGGAATTAAAGTGCCTTCCCTCACTGCATTTCGTTTGACCAAGTTCCCAGGAGTACTAACCAACTTGGTACCACTTTAAATTAATGTTTTGTTTTGGGACTTTTAAAATATATATGTTCTGTTTTCCTAAACTTGTATGAGTACAAGCTTATTACTTGAATAATCAGAGAAGATTTCTTTTCCTCACCACTAAGATAGGCTTTTACCCTTGCTGTTTTCCTCTGGGAAGCACTCCTTTTTGTTGTTTTTCACTCTCTGGATGGTGTTACTCTTTTTCCTGGCTTATGTGTGTGGTGGGAGATAGTTCTCCATTCCTTCTCCATTCCAACCATCCATAATTTCATTTTCTGTCCCTATCCCCAACCCACCTCCCAACTTTCTTCCTTTCTTTCTTTTTTTGTTTAGAGATGGTGTTTCGCTGTGTTGCCCAGGATGGTCTCAAACTCTAGGCTTAAGTGATCCTCCTGCCTTGGCCCCTCACCCCACAAAGTGTTAGGACTACAGGTGTGAGCCACCATGCCTGGCCTTCTATCTTCTTCTTCTTCTTCTTTCTTTTTTGTTTTTTTTGAGACAAAGTCTTGCACTGTTGCGCCCAGGCTGAGAGTGCAGTGGTTCAATCTCAGCTCACCACAACCTTTGCCTCCTGGGTTCAGGCAAGTCTCCTGCCTCAGCCTCCTGCATAGCTGGGATTACAGGTGCCAGCCACCATGCCCAGCTAATTTTTTGTATTTTTAATGGAGACAAGGTTTCACCATGTTGGTCAGGCTGGTCTTGAACTCCTGACCTCAGGTGATCTGCCTGCCTGAGCCTCCCCAAGTGCTGAGATTACAGGCGTGAGCCACTGCGCTGGGATTTATCTGCTTGGTATGGACTTAAACCCAGGTTCTAGACCACCAGAGATTGTCACTTAGCAAACACTGGCTCCAGTGATCACCTGTGTTTTGGGATTCATATTTTCCTATCATCTCTAGCCTCTGAGGAATTTTCTTACTTTCCTACCAGTCCAGTCAGGCAATATAAATAGTTGTGTGTGTGTTCACTCTCTGGAGGGTGAATGTTTTGTTCTGCCAACCTGCAGCTGGAGTCACCTCAGCTGGTCTGAACTCCTGGTCTCAAGTAAAAACTCAGCACATACGTTAAATGTTTTAAAGTCACCCAGAAGGAGATACATACAGTAGTTCTTCTGTGTCCATGGGGGATTGGTTCCAGGACACTCCTTGGATACCAAAATCCATGGAATGGTGTAGTGTTTATATATAACCTACACACATTCTATCGTATACATTAGTTTTTTTGGTCAGATCATCAGCAGCATTAGTTTCTTATAAGAGCACGTAGCCTATTGTGAACTGCGCATGCAAGGGATCTAGCTTGCTTATTCTTTATGAGACTCTAATGCCTGATGATCTGTCACTGTCTCCCATCACCCCCAAAAGAGACTGTCTTGTTGCAGGAAAATAAGCTCAGGGCTCCCACTGATTCTACATCATGTTTCATTGTGCAATTATTTCATTATATATTACAGCGTAATAATAATAGAAATAAAGTACTCAATAAATGTAATGCACTTGAATCATCCTGAAATCATTTGCCCAACCCAGTCTGTGGAATTGTCTTCTACAAAATATGTCCCTGGTGCCAAAGAGGTTGGGAACTGTTCCTTTAAATAACCTCAGATTATGTATAATACCTAATACAATGTAAATACTTTTTATACTGTATGTTTAGGGAATAGTGACAAGGACAAAAGTCTGTACATGTTCACTATGGACACAACCAACCATTTATTCCTCTAATATTTTCAATCCAAGGATGTTTGAACTCACAAAGGGCCAACTGTTTTATTTCATTGCCAATCAGTATGTCCTAATATGGACATCTTCTAAGATATATTGTCTGCGTTAGTCCGTTCTCACACTGCTGTGAAGAAATACCTGAAACTGGGTGATATGGTTTGTCTGTGTCCCCACCCAAATCTCATCTTCCAGCTATAATTCTCTGTGGGAATTAGAGCTCCCGTAATTCCCACGTGTCATGGGAGGGACCCAGTGGGAGGTAATTGAATCATAGGGGCAGGTCTTTTCCATGCTGTTCTCTTGATAGTGAATAAGTTTCACGAGAACTGATGGTTTTATAAAGGAGAATTCCTCTATACATCCTCTCTTGCCTACTGCTATGTAAGATATGACTTTGCTCTTCCTTCGCCTTCTGCCATGATTGTGAGGTCTCCCCAGCCATGTGGAACTGTAAGTCAATTAAACCTCTTTCCTTCATAAATTACCCAGTCTTAGGCATGTCTTTATTAGCAGTATGAGAACAGACTAATACAGTAAATTGGTACTAGGTAGGGGAGCACTGCTGTAAGGTATGTGAAAACGTGGAAGTGACTTTGGAGGTAGGTAACAGGAAGAGGTTGGAACAGTTTGGAGCGCTTGGAAGAAGATAGGAAAATGTGGGAAAGTTTGGAACTTTCTAGAAACTTGGAGGGCTCGGAAGACAGGAAG